GTTAAAGTAAAGTTAAAGAAATAATACAGTATATCTACTTATGGTATACGCCAACACTAATTGTTAGTTTGAAGTGCTGTCGTAGGTTCATAGATCGTTAAACAACTTAACATCAGTATGATTGTGTATAAGTAAAATCTTCCACATTCCTTCGTCAAAGGCCCGGTGTGGCCAGGTGGTTAGGACTCTTGAGTCGCAATCTGAGGGTCGCCGGTTCGAATCCCCGTTACACTAAAGATCCTTGCCCTTTCAACCGTGAGGGCGTGATATAATGTGACGATAAGTCCCACTATTCGTTGGTAAAAGTGTAGCCTAACAGTTGGCGGTGGGTAGTGATGACTGGCTGCCTTCCCTTTAGTCTTAGACTGCTAAATTAGGGAAGGCTAGCGAAGATAGCCCTCGTGTAGCTTTGCGCGAAATTCAAAAACAAACAAGCAATCCTTCCTAAAGGCGTCTTATGACCAATCAACAGCCATTAAGCAGCTCCGACGGTGTAACTTAACATGTGAGATACAATGCTATAGCACATGTTACCGTCTAGATGTAGAGTCAAGTACCAGGATAGTACCAATGGTACTGCCAAATACTAATGCTTATACGGATACAAATAACAGATGATAAGAAATTAAATGAACACCAGAACAATAAAATAAATACCTAGAATATTGGTGGTCTTATAAAAAATTTTGTCATCTTAAATGTAGTAAAAAGAAAAATAATACATTAGACATGCTATGAGGTGTCAAATACAGTTGATCTGTATTTATTATTAAATGAAGTTAAATCTTCTGTGACCTGGTATGACCTAGTGGTTAAGGTGCTCGACTCGCAATCTGTGGGTTGCGGGCTCAAATCCAGCAGCTTAACACTCTGGCCGTTTCAGCCACGAGAGAGTTATAGTGTGGTAATGAAACCCACTTTTCGTTGGTAAAAATTAGCCCAAGAATTGGCGATGTTTCGTAATGACTCTATTCTATCACTTAATAATTAGCGCAGATATTCCTAGAATACCTTTTCGCCAAATTCAACAAACACACACAAAATGATTTGTAAGAGCCAAAAAGTAAATGCGATGAGACTAGATAGCGTTCAATAATGATAATACTGTCATAAGACATTAGTATTAGGCCAGTTATAGTCTTTATCTATTCCCTCAGGGATTTTTAAGAAGAACAATGGTGTATAATAAATTTCAACCACACTTTGTTCAGCCTATCCATTGCCGAAGAAGCGTTTCAGTCAATATAAAGTTCATTAGGCTAGCTGGGATACAATAAACACAGTAGTTGTCGAAACACTATTTTTATAAGCGATTTGTTATAACAACAAATTCTATGGTGTAAACACATTTTCTAATTTGACGAAGCATGATTATATTTATTTAGAGATGTCATAATACATAAGCATTAGAACAGTTATAGTATAATATAAGATACGTCATTATACCTATATGAAGTGAAAGAAAATTACTTATTTCAAATTTTGCCGAAACTAGTTGTGTACCATATATTTGCTTTGGAGGGTTTCTTAGAGCTATAAGTACAATACTTTTTTTTTTGTACAATCTATGTAAAATGTCTGTCATTAACATAATGGGGGGGGGACCACTATAAAGTTTGATTAACGAAGTTAATATATTTTAACACAATTGATTATTGGATTATTTCTTACCTGAATAATGGAAAACATACATAGAGCGTAATTACCTTGTAAGTTCGTTTACGTAAGGTTTTACAATAAGACAATTATATGAAGCTCTTTTTACAGGAGTTCGTTCTTGCATTACTGACACATTTGTCACTTATTTCGTTTACAAATTGTAAACATTTATTATAGAAAACTTTTATACACATTATGGATATGTGTAATAAATTTGGGCAAACTATTTTTTATAATTAAGCTTATATGTGTGAAGTATGGCTTATTAAAGTATTAAGATTTAATATTTCGTAATTTTATTGTAGGTGTGAAATTACTTTTTACCGACGAAGGGTATGAATACACATTTTTCATTGTAGTTCCTCTATCAGTACTTCATTTTGAGATAGTTCTTGCACTCTTTAGTTTTAACCATTTTTGTTGCATATTTGGATCATAAATTTTCAAGTTATGTTTTCATCACTTGATGACTATATACGTATTTATTCTACAATTATCATTAGGTGTTGGTTTTCAGTCATCATAATTGTCAATAATTAGCAATTAATGGATTTCATACGAAAGCTTTTGATTGCCAAACACTTTCGCCTATAAATACCATTTATCATTTATGCATATTATTTGATTTTTTTATTATTATTATAAAGCTAAATTTATACTTTAAAGTATATTTTTCAACAAAACAATTACTAATGATAGAAGTCACTTTCTTTGTGTTTTTTTCTTTTTTAACTGCTCAAACATTTGTGTCTGCGACTGTTTATACAGTGCCTTGCAAAAGTATTCACCCCTACCAATAATGTCACATTTCTATGAAAACAAATAACGTAAACAAATTTTTTTAATTGACTTGTTTTTATCCAAAACCCTAATGATCAAACTTAACACTGTTATGTGTGAAGGAGGTTGAATGTCAGCAAAACCTTCAAAGAAATATATATAAACTAAAATTTGATGATTGCATAAGTATTCAGCCCATAATTCAGTAGTTGGTAGAAGCATCTTTGGCAACAATTACTGCTGTGAGTCTTTTTGGACAGGTCTCTACCAGCTTTCCACATTGGGATGGTGTAATTTTTGCCCATTCTTCCTGGCAAAATTGCTCCAATTCTGACAAGTTCTTTGGGGATCATTGGTGAACTGCAATCTTCAAGTCTCACCATAAATTTTCTATTGAATTGAAATCAGGACTTTGACTAAGCCACTCCAGGACATTCACTTTCTTCTTTTAAAACCACTCCAGTGTGGCTTTGGCCTTGTGCTTCGAGTCAATGTCTATTGAAATATGAATTTTCAACCCAGTTTTAGATTCTTGGCTGATTCAAGCAGGTTTTTTTCTAGGATTCGCCTGTCCTTTACACCATCCATTTCCCTTCATTCCTGACAAGCTTCCCAGTCCCAGTCCTTGTTGATGAGAAGCATCCCCATAACATGATGCTGCCACCACCATATTTGACAGTTAGGATGATGTTGAGCGGGTGATGTGTTATGTTAGGCTTGCGCAAGACTTAACGCTTTGAATTTAGACCAAAAAAGCTCAATTTTTGTCTCGTTTAACCAAAAAACCTTCTGAAAAAATGCTTTATCCTTTACATGCTTTGTCGCAAACTCCATACGAGATTTAAGAAGATTATTTTTCAATAATGGCTTCTTTCTTGCCACTCGTCCTCACAGGCCAGCTTTATGCAGGGACGGTAATACTGTCGATGTATGATCTTTGACTCAGACATGGAACAAAGTCACTGTTGGCTTTACAGTGGTATCCCTAACCAGTTTACTGCTTATCCGTCTGATTAGTTTGGAAGGGTGGCCTGATCTGGGTTGTGACTGAGTAGTATGAAGCACATTCCACTTCTTAATGATGGACTTCATCGTACTCAAAGGGACAATAAGCGATTTTAAAATGTTCTTGTAACCTTCTACTGATCTGTGTTTCTCTACCACTTTATCACTGACTTGCTTGGGATGTTCCAGCCTTCATGGCTAGTTTGTCGTATCACTATGTGAGTTGTAGCTTGAACAGATGCATTTACTCTGAAGTCAAGTTAAACCACTTTGAATACACACTGAGACCATTAATTACACTAATTCTGTGACCTTTCAAACTAATCTTTTGCACCTGAACTAACTTAGGGTTGCCTTAGCAAAGGGTTTGAAATACCAATGAAATTATGAATATTCTAATTTTATTAGAAAATCTAACTTACTTACATAATATCAGCGTTTTTGTTTTTTATCTTTCTCAGTTTGGAGTAGATTATGTAAATTCTAAATATAAAGTACCATTTGAAAGTTTCATGATTGCAAGCTCGGTGGCAACAAAATGTGGAAACTTCGCAGAGTGTGAACACTCTTACAAGACACTGTATGTATATACATAAAATCTGAAGCCAATAGCTTCTAAATGAACATCATCACATACTCGTACTAAACTAATCAATAGCTACTTTTTCTAGAGTTTTTGTTTTAATACGATGAGTAGTTCTGTTATTTCAATGACATGTAATTGAAGAACCACTAACCACGAAAAGAATAGACTTAACAAATAAAAAATTCCTCATCATAGACAAAGGTAAGTCTTCTGTTGGTATCAGCCAGTTCTTTCAAACTACTTAAAACAACTCCCTAAGAAGAATTAAGAATTTTTCAAAATAGATTAACACTTGAAACACCCAATCCTGTAACCGAGCGCTGAAACAAACATAACAGTGTTTATTCATCGAAATAGTAACACATCATTCTTATTCTTTGAGATAGCGCTGAAAAATAAAAAAAAATCCAATCAGAGACAGTTTGTTATACAAACATTCAGTGATATACTGAGGGTCGTTGTACAAACAATCAGTGATATATTAAGGGTCGTTATACAAACATTTGTACAACGACTCTCAGAATATCACGGAATGTTTGCATTACGATCCTTAGTATAGCACTGAATGTTTGTACAACGACTCTCAGAATATCACGGAATGTTTGCATTACGATCCTTAGTATATCACTGAATGTTTGTACAACGACTCTCAGAATATCACGGAATGTTTGCATTACGATCCTTATTATATCACTGAACATTCAGTGATATACTAAGGATCGTAATGCAAACATTCAGTGATATACTGAGAGTCGTTGTAAAAACATTCAGTGATATACTAAGGATCGTTATGCAAACATTCAGTGATATACTGAAAGACGTATACAAACATTCAGTAATATATTAAGAGGCGTTATACAAACATTCAGTTATATACTAATGGTGGTTATACAAACATTCAGTGATATATTAAGGATCGTTATACAAACATTCAGTAATATACTAAGGGTGGTTATACAAATAAACTTACCACATCTATCAACTGAGAGAGTTTCAATCCCATTTTAACGGTGAGCCTATCCGAGTTGTTTCCCACAGGTCGAATCAAAGAGTTATAACCGTAGATCAGGTCATCGTAAAGCCGCTTAGAGTCAGAACTGGTTTCACTACCATCTCCATAAACCCACAAAATTGCAAGTATCAAAAATATTAAACATTTTATTTTACATTTATTCATAGCTACTATAACACAACGAAGTGTTCTGGCAGAAACGCTTACGATAGTTCTATACTAATGCTAGTTGTAGTAACAGTCTGCTTCTGCTAAAACTCAAGCTTTCGATAACGATTTTAGTACTAAGCCAGGATGAAGAGCATGGTAAACCCACGGAAGTGTGCCGGTGCTGCTCTCACAAAGCTGTCATGATGGAAAGCCTATTCGCTTCTACAGCATCCCCAAAAGACCTTACACGATCAATAGGAAAGAACAGACAGGAAATATATATCTGAAGCGGTCTCTAAAACTAGCAGTACCTTTCCCGCTATACATACTCCAAGATTTTTGCATTACATGAGGTTTGATTAGAGCGCCCTCTGTCATATAATTATTATTTGACTCGAAACGAAGTATGTATTTCGTATTCATGAATCTAATTTTGCAATGTAACTTTATCATGTTTTCTTCAGTAACCTTGAACTAAAAAGTCATCTATGTACTTTTAAGAATTATCTTCAATGGATCATTTCGTTAACCGTAATAAAAATTAAAAACAATTACATAATTTGTTGTACAAACACAACTCAAACTTTCATATAGTTTGAAAACATTTAGTATGCAACTTTAGAAGTGAATTGTATAATACATAGTGTGAACACGTGTACAAATAGATATAAATATTTTACTGTTTCTCAACATAGTATAAACCGCTTTTACTTACTTTAAACACCTGACTCACTAAAATAACAAACTGATAATCTTCACATGGTCGATTTTAACAAAAACGCAGTATAACCAACTCTCGTGAAATCACGTCTTTAAAACTATGCATACGAGAAGTTCATCCGGCAATATCCTAATTACTGAACGTTAACAGACATGAGATACGCTATTTCATCAACGGCACACAAAATACGATTAACGCTTAACGATTCACTGCATGGAGTGAACAAATCATAGGCTCTATTAGGAAGGATTTAATGGAAATCTTCTCGTTTCTTTTCAGGTTAGTCGTAGTTAAAGATTTTGCATGAAAGGAAATCTGTTTGTAAGCAAAATACGCAGAGTACAGATGATAATTTGATAATTAAGTCACATACGCATCATTTTATGTCCACTTTCTTAATCAAAGCAGCGCTTAACATGAAACTTCTAAAGATAATGTTTACCACGTAGATTTTATAATGATCTCCATTGTTTACATAAAGACCCTGTAAAATTACTTCCAGAACATAAACTTAAAATTTAAACCTAGACTGATTTTATCTGTCAAGTATATCTATTGTTTAATGATTATTAGTAATAACTGTCGGAAAGAAGGAATTATTAGGTTTAATAAGAAAATATATAGACAAAAATAAAGCTGAACACTTACAAGTACCTACTTTAAACAATAATACAGTAACTTTTGTTTTGCTCTAAGTTTTTATTTTGGTGATATACATTATTTTCATTGGTGGGTTTTCGATACTGTTTACTGTAGTTTTTTTTTTTTTTCAAGATAGGGATAACTAGCATGATAGCTTGAAAATGGAAATGGTGTGGAAAGTTAACCTTCGTGGTTTCGTAGCTACCTCGTGCTGAATTAAAACGCACCTGTTTTAAATCATCTGATGGACATCTGTTACATGAAAACAAAACTATGTATCATGTCTTAGTAGAATCGGATATTTCACTTTTTATTTTCTGCCCAGAAAATCTCAAATCTGCATGAATTATTAAGTGTATCTCTCTAAAAATTATTTGTAACATTGTATTTTAGGTGATTTTCAGCAGACACCATATTATATATATAATGCATGATGTAGAAGCAACGTATAGTACAATGGAGATTATTAATGCACGTCGATTTATATCTAGTGTATGGCCTTTTGTTACGCTCTATTTTAGAAATATTTTATTATAGTGAAATAGTTTGGCACCCTTTCACTAAATAAAGTAACACTCTGAATGTTATCATGTGAAATTATTTTAACTCTGCTTATTAGAAATATTTTATTATAGTGAAATACATTGTTTGGCACCCTTTCACTAAATAAAGTAACACTCTGAATGTTATCATGTGAAATTATTTTAACTCTGCTTATTGGGTTGAAAAATATAAACTTTTTAGAAGTCTTATTGTGAAATTTTGATTTTTTTTTGTTGTCGTTTTCTCAATTTGGAATAACACCTTTCCCACCTATTGGAAGCACACAAAGAAAAAGTCAATTTTCTCTTTATCATTATTAGTTTTATTACCGTACAATTCATAACTAACTGGACAGGCTAAGTCTATATGAACATATGTTTAAATGTGAATTATTTAACATAAATATAAATTTGTTATACATATATATATATGCTTGTACATATAACAATTAAAAACTTTGGACTGTCAAACTAACGTTGTACGCGAGTCTTATAAGTATCAATATATTCCAACTCATTCGATGAAGGTGTGGTTAGCAATTGGTCCACAGATGTAAGCATAAATTTCATTGGGCGAATACAGTGTTCGAGTTCATCCTTGCCTCCACACCATTAGCACTATACAGAGGTCATAGTTGGAGGAATCAGTCGATTAGGGGCACAATTTGACATCTGTGGCACTTTAGAGTCTCTCCAGTCGCATTTTCAATTGGACAATCACTAGCCCTAGATGACCACAGTTTTCTTAGTGTCAGAAATATTTCTTTTATATTACCATTACTGATAGACTCTAATGAAAAGTGCTGATTGATATATATGACTGATATACAAGTACTTTTCGGTGATTATCTTGTAATATCGGTATACGGACAAGGAACATAGTTTTAGTTATGTATTGCTGATATATTGTTAGATAAAGAAATTAATTTGTATCAAGTTTTCTTTGTACGACCATTACGTTTTCGAAAATAAAACCTTATTTCACCTTATCATATAATACTATGAAAATTATGATATTCTAAGTCTGGCTTTGAGTTTGTTAGAATAGCCAAACTCTACCTGCTAAAACAAAGTGGCGTTGTAGTTTTTTAAAATAAATAATGTTTTGTTTTGTTTCTTCCCTGTGTTATAGTTTTATTTGGATAAGTAACTATAAATTATTACTCTCCCTACATAAATTGTTACCATATTACAATATCAGATATTAAAGTAGATATTAAAAAAGTGGTCTTGACACAAGCAAATACAATTTCTAAATTTTAAGAGTTATTTCATTCTTTTATTTATTTCTTGTAACTAATTCATAGAATATTCAAGCTAATGTGTAAACATTCGTTTAGATGGGGATTTTTTAAGATATATTTTCAAAGTAAAGTTTGAAAAAAGTAATTATATTATTAATCATGAACTCCGATAGTAGTTCATAATAGGGATCGCACAGGAATTTGTTCAAAATTATCAAAGAAAATTCGGGCAAACCCCACCTTGAAAAGTTGACTTATTCTTGATACAAGACTCAAAACCTTCGTTTTCGACAGTTAAGATCACCCAAACATTGGTAATAAGCAAATTGAGTGATTTTACGATTGTATACAAAATCAAAATTTGTCCATTTGTTCATATTATTATTATTAATATTAATCTTTCACAAGCCTACAGCAAAAGCGGCTGGATATTTTGCACCAAAACCTAGACAGATATACTATATGAAACGCTGTAAATGTCTATCCCTATTTAAAGGTTGATTAAATTTGAGTGAAAGTTGATTTACGTGGTTATAAATACATAATAGATGCTATGTTGTTCTGCTTTTGTACCCGACGCGTGTTTATACGAAACGTCAGTCACAAAGGTCGCTTGGCTCAGTAAGTAATTAGTTTATAAGACACGAAGGTTTATTTAAAGCGACGTCTTAGACGTATTTGTTTTATTTAAAAAGGCTGCTTTTCTACAAGTAAACTTTTAGAGTGGGGGTTGTTACTTACTGTATATTTGCCCATTGCTGGGCATTAAAAATTCCAACATACAAGATAATAAAAACTGATACTTTGAAATCTACAAATAGCGATCGCAAAAACGTAAGCAAACAAGGCTGGGAAGGGGTGCGTATTCAATATTTATTACCACTACATATAGCATTATTTCAAAAAGCTATTGTTATTTTTCAATAATTGGTGTTAAGGTAGTGGTTGTAAATGTTGTAGATAATTGCCGACTACCCTAAGTATGTCATTATTGTCTATTTATTATGCATTATTTGTGTCACTATATTCTAGCAAACACTTGTACACAGCAGGCTGTTGAAGAACATGCATATGTGTCATGTAGACCAAACAAGGTCACTGCATCTGTTTACAATGCATTAATATGTGTTCTATTATTTCAGAATAAACATTATTCCATTCTGATGAAATTGCTTTGTTGCTGCTCGTCTTTTGTTACTTTACACTGTAACAGTGATAGAAGCCAGTCATTAAATCTGTGATGATATAATATTTGCGTTCAAGATGGTCCTTTGAGAACAACTGTACATTTGTTTGTTGTAGTTGCATACCAGTACACAAAAATTGATAAATACTGTATACATGGAGTCAGAATAGGAATTTTTAGCTCGAGAAAATAATGTAGACACTATTTCCATCCCAGTTTGTTTTTTTTTACTTTTTTTAGAGTCCCTAGCTGTAGGCCTAAAAATATAAGCTTTTCATTTTGATTCAACTTGTTTCTGAACTTTTATACGATCCCTATTCCCCCTTTTTTAAATTAATAGTTTTTACTAATCTTGTATATATAAGTTTATTCGCTTTTTCTCGACACGAAAATATGATAAATTCCTTAAAACATTAGTATTTTTCTTTTTCCACAACTAACATTTTTATCTTTTGATTATCCTCCTTTCAAATATCGAAGCAAGAAACAAAATATTTTCCACTAAACTTATTCTCTGCAATTCATGTCGGAGCTAAAAATACATTACTTAGAGCAGAGTTTCGCTACTTGGATGTCTTCTAATGGAAAAAGACAAATTTATATTAGACGGTGTGCATTATCTTACACAGTATGCTTAAATTGTTGGCATTGTGAAATGTACTTGCTGAGTACACCGCTGGTCAATGAATGATATAAGAATAACGACTCATTCCTGTAATGCATTTGTGGAAATATTAAAAGCAATTATCTTATGTCTGTAATCAGAAAATGCGATTTTAAACAGCCTATTCAAAATTTTATTTTCATTGTTCCTTTCGTGAAATACGGTATAACTATCCCGTAACATACAGCTGGATTGAATATATGAATGATTTTTAAGGAAAATTTTATTATAAGGGTTTCGTTAATCAATATAAAAAGACAAAGAAAAATTAAATGTATAAAAATA